TTAGCTATGGAGTTTGTCGAATTATGATTTGAACATCTAAACTCCCGTTCAATTGAACCTTATTCTTTCCCATTTTTGGTCCAAATTTTCAGGCGGAACAAAATATATATGAGTGAAGCTCAAAGGAGTGCTCTCAATGCCCTTCTGTTCCGCACAGGCGACCAGTCCAAAGACATAGTTCTTGCTTTGGCAACTAACCGTCCAGGAGATCTTGACACTGCTGTGGCTGACCGCATTGATGAAGTTCTGGAATTTCCTTTGCCTGGCGAAGATGAACGCTTCAAGCTGCTCAAGCTCTACCTTGACAAGTATATAGCTCAGGCTGGAGAAAGAAAATCAGGCTTGTTCTCCAATTTCTTCCGCAAGCAACAGCAAAAGATAGAGATCAAGGGCTTAACAGATGACATTTTGAGGGAAGCTGCTGCAAAGACGGAGGGCTTTTCAGGAAGGGAAATTGCAAAGTTGATGGCAAGTGTTCAAGCTGCAGTCTATGGTAGTGAAAACTGTGTGTTGGATCCAAATTTATTTCGAGAAGTAGTGGATTATAAAGTTGCTGAACATCAACAGAGAAGGAAATTAGCTACTGACGAGGGAGGGAATGCTTGATGGACTGGTAATTTATTTGACGAATTAGGGAATGCTTGATGGACTAGTAATTTATTCGACAGAAAAATCACTTGGTCCCCATTTTTTTTTACTGGGTAATTTGTTCTCATTTGTTTTGTCCTCAGTAGATGAGGCAGTTTTGGAGCAGTGTAACTTCCGGGCCAATTAATACCAATCATGACGTCTCCTATTTAGGGCTACTGAATAGGTTTACAATATTGTTGCTACCCTTCTCGCCCTTTCATCACTTCCAATATGATTATCGTTGCCCATTACCGGGAACCTGGAATTTGGACTCTTTTTTTTGCCTGTTATTTTGTGTTTACATTTGACATCTGGGTCGCTTCCTTGGTGTTTGCATCTCGAAAGATTAATCATCATGTTGATTCTTGTTTACTTTAATGAAAAAGAAACGGCCTTGATGAAATGAGCATAAAATAACGTCTAGATCAGTTATGTAGCTAGGGTCGGTTTATTTATTACACCAAGAGGGGGATAAAACTGTGAATGAGAAAGGTCACAAGAACATTCAAACAAATCAAATCCTTTTTTGCTCGAGTGATCGCAAGGATGATTTTGAGACTAGTGATGGTGACTGCCATGATCTTGAACATATCGCAGCCCACAATACTTGCACACGGCCGGCTCCTCCTTGTCAAGACATATAAATTCAATCGGATGTCCGAGCGCAGGGTTGCTGTCTGCATCCAGATAAACGATGAATTAGAATAATCCATAGTTGAAAGATACCAAAGATCTATAGCTGTTTAACTTTTCCACCCCAACCCAATACTTTGCTGCATGGAAATCAATGCTTTGACGAACAGTCTCAAAACGAAAGATTTGGATAATAAAAACAGACTGACCTCCTTCGCAAGCAACAATCCTGCCTTCAACCTTAATAGGGGGGACTTCATTGATCAACTGCATGGGAGATTTCTGAGTTGTATCCTGGACAAGGACCAGCGAGAAAAGTAAGCATATGCACCAGTAATTCGGAAGTACAAATACCAGTTAAGTAACAACACCCTACATAAGCATGCCAATTGCCATCACAAGAGCCACTTATGAGCTAAGAATGTTTAGTAACAAAAAGGGCGAGAAAAATACACCTTCAAATACAGCCCATACAGAAAGGAAGCTTGAAAAAATAAATATTCTGGCCTTATGGTGAATTGTCGTAACCAGAAAAATATCAGAAACTCCAACTAAATGTCCAGTGTAATATTTGCAGGTTTGCAGTCCAATGAGAGGCATGCATTCACGCAAATAGTAAAGATAACAAGAAGTAGCGTGACCATTTCTTCCTATCCTTCCCATGATCCGAGATTACAAGAGGACTCTACATATATCACTATATTGCAATCCAGTTTAAAAAATACAACGGCTACGTTTTCTTGAAACAACTTGGCATTTTCCATCTTAGGAGAACTTTGCAATTTCCAGTTCCACCACCCTGCTAAAATACTTCTTTTACAACCCCATTTGACAATATTATAATGTTTTGATGTCATGTCTAGAATCCGTGTTGACTACCATAAGTTCCACAAAGTATCAAAACTACACCCAAAATTGCCAGAGTATTATAGATTGCCTTGTCATTACTGATGTTACAGATCCAGGAAAAAATGGTTTGAAAAAGAAAAGAACAGGGTAAAGGATTATTCATATGCCCCAATAACTGAACTAAATTGGAATGCACAGAGGGAGACATTATTTGGTTCAGCTTCTCTGAGGAAAGCTTTGTCAAAGAGCTAGGATTGAGGACTTTTTCAGCCTGAAAAGAAGCACAAAAGGTTGATAAGTTAACCTTTCTCAGAAAGAAGGAGAAGTCCCTATTGAGGCATGGGTTCGCAGTGAGGCTTATTCCCATGGATACAAAGGCTCATTTTTTTCTGGAGCTTGTAAACAAGTGTTTTGACCTCATAACACATGCCGAATGAAAAGATTGTTTACCAAGACTAGTAAATGCTGATGACTATAAGCCCCAAGGGAAGAAAACAAATACAAGACTTGAATGAAACAACCTCTTGCAAATTAAGTCCTGAGAAGAGTTGTAGTATCAGTAGGACAGCATTACAGAAATTCAAGTTATCTGATCCAACAAGCAACTGGAAGTTAGAAGACAGTCAAGAAAGCAAACAACTTGTTTGGAGCCTTGTGTTTCAATAATGAAATGCTCAGAAGATACATAAGCTTGCTAGTTCCTGTGTTAAGCATCATGTGCAATGAAGGAGAAAGGAAAGTTTTTGGACGACATAGCTTTGAACTGGAGAAGAAAGTAAGAAAACGGAAGCAAATATAGTTTCTGTTATTCTTCTGCCCGACCTTAGTTCATGAAACTCGTAGTGGTGATGTTTACTATCCCATTTCATTCCTTTCACACCCATAATAGATGAGACAATTTTTAATACCACCGTCACATCGATTATGGACCATTTGAGCAACTAATCCCTCCATAAAATTACGGGCAAAAAAAAAAATAAAAAGGAACAATTAGACTTTGGGCCTTCGCTTCTGAATTAACATACTGCTAGTATGTCATGGAGAGGGAAAAAAAAATATTGCAATTCATACCAAGCAGTAGCAGGAGATAGGAAGGAAGGATTGAATTAGGGATCTTTAAAACGTATATCTGCTATTTCAAGTAAATAAATAAGTACGAATAGAATTTGAATTAAAAGCGGAGTCGTCACCTGCATCCATTTCTCAGTGTGGGTGGTGATGATCTCGCTGGTCACTGCGCCGCCGCCGGTCAGACTTCTCCGGCCAGAACCCACCAAATTGGAAGAGGACGAGGACGGTCGAGTTAGGACGCTTCTCACGAGATTGGAAGCCATGGCTGCTAATCCCTGCTTCCTTCCGAGAATCGCTGCTGCCATTTGTCTTCTGGAACTATTACTATTATTATTATTATTCAATTTTGCCCTGAGTACATCCGCATTCGAAGCACCCCTCCCTAGCCAGGTGAACCGGAAAGTATTACCACAGCGGAGGAGACGCACAAAGCTCCAACCCCCGAGTCCTTTTCGCCGTAGACTCCAATGGATTTTAGCTCGAACTTTGGTTCGTTAATTAATCAAATCAAATTTAAACACCGTTTCGCATTTAATAATTTTTTAAATTCAAGGTTAGCTTAATTGGTATAAATTTGAAATTTATAAATTAAAAATCTCAAGCTACTCAAATTTGACTTTAATTCGATTGAATAAAAAATTCAGGTCTATAAAAACTTATTGAGTTTGACTCGATTAAGCCAAAGTTGCATGAACCAAAGTTGCACACACCCAGTTTCAATCTTCATAAAATAATCAAAGAATTTTGAACACTAGAATATTCAGTTTGAGTACGATGTCCGACTTGAGTTAGCTCGTCAACACCCTACCTACCTATCTACTTACCTGGTTGTTATCATATATATATATATATATATAATAAAGTCGTACCCTTATTCTTATCCCTTTATATTTTCTCTTTCCTACGTGACTTGTTTCTTTTTTGTTTAGATATATATCAATTCTTATTTCCTATAAGAATTCTTAATATTATATGATTCTTGTTTCTTACCCAAAAAAGGAACTGGAAAGTAATGCGATATAAATAAAAGAGACATAAATATCTCTATTAGATATATCTCCAAATTCATGCCAATAATTTGTGTACTGCATAAGGAACCGAAATAAATAAAAATTGTTATCACTACAAAAAATAGAAAAATAACTAATTACCGAAGTAAATTATTAGATGTTCAAATTTATATTATAAGAATACTTTATATTATAATGCGTATATAGTAATATACTTAAGAAAGGCTATAATAAAATAGACATTAAGTTTGTATTTCATATCGACATTTTTATAAAATTGACTAAATAGTTTATTATTTTTTAAAGATTCATGTTCAACGAACGGGTACAAAACTAGTTTATTTATAAGACTGAATGAAAATTTCGAAAAATGTAAATTGAAAGATTGAATCGAATTTAATGCTACATGACTAGATCAACCTAAGAGTAATATATATGCATTAATCATCATAAATACTAGAAATGAAATAAGGTCTACATCTGGAATTAACTATTGAGGTTGGTCCATGGTATGGGTTTTAGAGCTCTCCTGTCCTGTGCAATTGGAAGGTTCAACGGGTACATGATCCTCTCCTTAAAAAATCTAGAACATATTTGTATGGTCTGGAGGCCCACCTCCAACTTTCCATACAATCCTAGTTGGGTTTCCCCTCTCGGTCTCGGGTAAGCTGTAACATTATTATTAAGAATAGGGAATAGAGTAGATTCTTGAGTTACATATCGAAAGAAATGACGCGTTTGGGCTTTTGATGCTTAGTACTAGTTCTCAGCCTAAGGACTTTTTTTATAAAAGTTCGTCGTTCCAACAACCCATGGAAGTTTCAAATAGAAAAAAAAAAAAGAAAAAAAAAACAAGATGAAAAAATCCTAGATCTTTTCAAGTGGGGGAAAACAAGCGATTGAAACAAATGGCAGGGGGATCGGGAGTCGCTTCAAATCCATCAACACATCCTCCCTCTCACCAAGCTGCTCCCAAAATCCTATTAGCCAAGCCTGGTCTTGTTGCCGCCGGCAAATTTAGCCGAGGGCTTGTCGGCCCCGGCGGTACCGTCGAAGATGATTCAGCAGCCGCGCTCCGATCTCGCCTTCCGTCCATCGGATCTCTTAATCTCCTTTCCGATTCTTGGGATTTCAACCCCGACAGATTCCTTCCAGTAAGAAACCAACTCTACTCACCCTTTCTACTGTTATCGTCCTTCTAAAATAAATAATAACAAAAAAGCGGCTAAGTTTTTCATCTATACAAGATATAGGCAAAAATTCTTTTGCTTTTTGCCTTCTTCTTCTTTTTTTTTTTTTTTCCTTTTTTCTGTTCGTTCGGGGTTTTCTCACACCCAAAAGGGGAAAACCAAAAAAAAAATCTTTTTTCGCAGTTTCTGACTGACAATACTGATTTTACGGTGGTTGGAGTAATCGGTCCTCCTGGTGCTGGCAAGTCCACCATCTTGAACGAAATATATGGATATGATCCTACCTCACCCGGTACTCATCATCCACCCTTTTACTTGCTCTGTATTCTGTTACTCGTCGCCAACTTTATGCTGATGAACAAGTGATGGTGGCCATCTCAGGAATGCTGCCTCCATTTGCAATTGAAACTGAAGAAACTAAGGCAATGGCAAAGCACTGCACTCTTGGGATTGAACCCCGAATCTCCTCCGAACGTATCATACTTCTTGATACTCAGGTCCGCTACTTTTAACACCCACCATTTCCCTCTTTTCTGCCTTCACTAGTTTTCTTCTTTTTAACAATTAGAAGAAAATTTTAGATAGGATATCCACTATAACTTGCCAAGTAAGATAGGAGGGGAGGTTATAGTTAGACAAGTTCTCCAAATCATTATAATATTTCTCTTTTGACTTTTTTCTACTCGCTTTGCTAATATCTTTCCATACTCAGATACTTAATGATCCATCAGTCAAGAATCTTCTTGTGTTCTCCAGTTTGGTGCCATAGAATCATTAAATGTTACGTTTACATATTTTACAACCAAAGTTTTTTAAGTGGTGCATAGCTGGTAGGTAGCACAGTCTGACTGTTGTTTCTCCATTCTCTAATTAGTCCTTGTGCTGTACAGCCTGTGTTTAGTCCTCCTGTTTTGGCCGAGATGATTAGACCTGATGGCTCATCTACGATCTCTGTGATAAGTGGTGAATCACTATCTGCTGAATTAGCTCATGAACTGATGACCGTTCAGGTAACTCCGAGACATCAAGTAGTAGTCTTAGTTTAAATAAACGTGATTGAGACATAATGTTCCTATCTTAATTTTGATGCCAAGATATAGTGTAAGATTGAATCGATAATTACACTACCAGTTTCGAAGTTTAAACAAAAAAAAAAAGTCTAAGCAATTTTTCTTTTTTCTGTCGGTGCTGCAAGGAATCTTTCTAGCTTGGTGTTTTTCTTGCATCAGTTTGTCACATTATCCTGGTGGTATCTGAGGGAGTTCATGATCTTAGCATGTGGCGCTTAATGTCAACGGTATCCTTCTTTCTCTTTCTATTTTGGAATGTTGCTTGCACTTAATCTTGTTCTGATTGGAGCATTGCTTTCTAAATATCTGAAGCTTATGGTTGCTGAGCACTTTTGGTAGTTTGCTAGATTCTTTATTGAGAAAATGACTTTTGAATTTACAAAACCTTGAACATTGTCTACTATTTTAGTTCCTACCTTTTAGAGGACACTCTTGAAAGGTTGCCCCCATTTTAGAATATAGCCTGAACATTTCTGGAAGTTTTTCAGGGGTTGGAACTTGTTCATTATTGCGATTAAAATATCTGAAATGCATCTGAACTTCGCTATTTGACCATATATGTTAATATAATGTTGGAGGGGCATGTGTACGGAAGTGAAGTTGGTATTCTGTATTTTCTCTTATACCAAATTGCAATAGTTGTTTGCAGAGAGAAAGCGAACTGGAGGCAAATTTATATTTAAAAAAAACGTTGGGTTTCCTACCCTTTATGCATTTGCCTTGGAAACTGTGAAGTCTGATCATCTTCCCAACTGGTTGAACATCATCATATCTTAGATCTAGATGACCAGCTATGATCGTCAATCCTGCTATTAGGAACTGAGCTTTTCCTTTTCCTCGCTTACTTTTTCTTTTGTGCGAGCTGCATTTAACAAATTTATTTGCTTCATCAGATTTGGGAATCTAAATTTTTGCATTGGTATCATTTTAAAGAAATGGTTCATTTTTAATTGCAGGTGGACTTGTTGAAGCATGGTATACCTGATCCGTCTTCGGTGTCCTTTTCGCATCCGCATGGCTCTAGTCTGATCTCTGAAAAAGAAAACAAAGATAAAATTCAGGAAGTGGGAAAAGAGTATATGGCAGCGCCAGTTTTTGTGCAAACAAAGTGAGTTTGTTTTACATCAAAGTTGTTTTCCAAAGGGAAGCTTTATGGAAGGAATTATCCTGTTTGGGGCTAGTTAGTACTTAATTTCATTGCTAAATTTATGCGTGAAACTAGGTTATGGAGATATCAGTGTAGTTGTCCTTAATCTAATTGCAGGATAGCCTATCATACAGCTTTACCAACAGAAAAGGAGGTGTCTGTGCCACCACCTCTTTTGCAGATTGTTTTTAACCTTTTCTCCTTTTCCATGCTTATTGGGTGTTGAAATTGAATGATAGCATGAGCTATTGTTTGTTATCACTTCATGTAGACTGCGTGACAAAGATGTTAATCCGCATAATGCTGCACAACTAAGGAAGGCACTTCAACAGTGTTTTAAGTTCCCATCATCTTTTGTGAGGCTTAAATGCCAAAATGCATCAAAGGAGAACAGCATTTCCGCAATCAAGAGTCAGAATGATGGCACAGATTCTGCAGCACTAAAATTGTTTCTAGTTCCAAGCAAGAATAGAGATGACTCCCCCTGGGCACAGTATGAAAGCTACATTTCTGTGATTTGGAAGTTAAGGGATGAGGTCTCTGTCTCTGTCTCTGTCTCTGTCTCTCTCTCATGTATCATTTCTAAGGATGCAAAGCTAATATTGGTCTATTCTTTAGGTTCTATCCATGAGTGGCTCCTCGTTCTCGAGGACAGTGTCTGAGCGTGATTGGTTGAAGAATTCTGCTAAAATATGGGACATGATCAAGAATTCTGCCGTCATTGCAGACTACTGTAAAACGCTTCAAAGTTCGGGCATGTTTAGAAGGTAGCTATTTGATTCTTGCCGTCTTCGGCCAAGGTTCAGAGACCCATATGTAGTAGTTCATAGCTGGCTTCGTGCCGCGGACCACTTTTTAAGTTTTTTGCTGTAAAATCTGATGTTCTTCTGCCAATTGATATGATTAAACACCTGTTCACGACAGCCTCATGGCTTATTTTATGAAATCAAAGACCGGTGTTTGATAATACATTGCGGGAAGAATGGGGTGAATACGTCATCATTCATGTGCGTGTCAATAAAATTTTTTGGCCAACAATTGCACGTTTTCCTGTGTGTCATACCCATCAACAAATGAGAATGTGCAGAAATGACATCAGAGATCTAAAGAAACATCGAGTGTGTTGTGTTTTGATTGTAAATTTATCTCAAATAATATTTTATTTGTATCATAAATATATTTTTTAATTCATTTTAACTATTTTTTACCTCGCATACGTCACATCACAAAAGAGTGTTACAGTAATTATTTCAAATAATACTCGATATCAACGGATGATCTGCAGGTGAAGACACAAAATGTTGAATAAAACTAAAGCGGGAAGGGAATAATCTATTTTCTGGCCTCTGATCTACCGGTGTTCTGCAAAGATCTAAGAAATGGTTACTCCTCCATGGCATCCTTTGAGGCTTGCGCTGCTCGTTTATCAGATTTTCTGTTCTTATCTGCAAAAGAAAGGCACCCCATACATTTTTTTGAGTCAGTCAGTCTGAGCACAGACAGAAACAGTAACTTGAGTGTACTTTGCATATACGTTCAATTTGGCAACATTTCGAAACGGATCAACCAGCGGCCTATGGAAAAGAATCATGCGAACAGAAAAGCCAGTCGAAAAGTCTTCTTTTAACTAGATAGATGAGATTTGTGTGTAGTAAAAGGAAAAAGTAAATTATGAGTCTGCAAAAGACGATGAGGAGCGAGAGCAACTAAGAAGCGAGGAGGAACCGAGCCGACCTCTTTTCTTGAAGCGCCCTGCTTTATGCTTTGGACTCTTCTTCATGTGAAAGTGAAACTTCTTAGGAGCCGCCTGCTTGTTGGCATCATCTTGGGAAGTTCCTGTTGCGAACGGTGGAATCCAAAGCAGTATTTATTAATTAGAAAGTGATGAGAAGATCAACGTTCCCTACTACGCTCTGTGATGATCTACGTTGTGTTAATTGGAAAAGTGATGAGATTTGTGTGGGAGCAGAGCTATATCATATGATATCTCAAAGATTCTAAAGGAGGAATAATCAAAGAAAAAGAAAAAAGAGAGGAATCATAACCTAACCTAACCTAAGGGCGTGAAATTGAAGACGAGAAAAAAAAATAAATAAATACCAAAAACACAGTAGTAGTATAACACATACCACCAGAACCATTATCATCATTATGAGCAACAGCCAACATCTCGACATCCTGCATAGCGGTGGTCAGAGCTGCTGCAGCCGCCTTTTGGTCCCTGCGCCATTTCTTGAAAAGTTTGCGCTTCCGCTTGCCTGAGATGGAAAGCGGTGGATGTTTGTGCTTCAGCCTTTTCGTCAGCGGGTCCCCCTGTACAGCCCTCTTCCGCTCTGCAACTGCAGCTCTCCTTTGCTTCTGAACCACGTTGAATTTTGCCATCTCTGATAACAACGAACCCAACACCAAGAAAGCCTCCTCCCGCGGTGCGCCTGCCTCTGGCTCAACTTCAACCCTAGCTCCCTGCCCCTTTAAAAGTCGGGTATAGTAGCTACTCAAACGCACTGGCGCCCAAACCCGGTCCTTCAATATAATAACCGGTCAATTTAACCTTCCTTCTTTAGTATGTCACGCACGCTCTTAATTTTACAATCTTACAAACTCTATTAATTTAAAAAGATATTATTATTATTAGTAGTTAGTCGATAAATTAATAATTTATGAAGTGTATTTAATTACAGTTCAAAGAAACATTATTCATTTAATCAACTAAAGTTTTATTTTGTTTTATAAAACTATAAATTATTATGTTAATAAATCCATATTACATCTACTTGGTTCTTGAATATAAATCAATCAATAATTGATATCATTTTCCTATTACCAAAGAGGTCAAGAAGATTTAGAAATACTGCCGTATGATGAATGTCCACTCCTGTTTTACTAAATGAATATGACAAATCAAATTAAAAAAGAAATTAGAGATTAGATTCAAATCAAATTTTAAGAGAAACCAAAAAATCATTTATAGTCTCGCATTTTAGAAAAATATGGTATGTTGTTTTAGCGAGTGGATTATTAATTTGTATTATGAATGGGATTAAAAAGTTATTGTCTTATTATTTTATCAAAATTATTAATTTAACTCGTTAGTCCAAGTCAGAATCAAAAAAAATATTATTTAATAAATGTTTATCAAGTATTAATTTATAAATGTTTTACTGTACTAATTTGTAAAGCATTTTGATTGTTTGCTTTAACTCTTTCATTATTTTTTTTATATATATAAAAGCAAAGAACGGATGAGATTTAAGATGTCAACCTTTTTAAAAAGATACGTTGTTAACTCTGTTGTTGTTTTCCAATTAAAAAAAAAAGAAAAAGAAAAGAAAATCGTTTCCTTCTTCTTTTTTTCCTTATAAAAAAATACGAACAGCGTGTGTTGTGCCTGTACAAGGACATAAAAATATTGGAGGGATGGGATGAGACAGACAAAATGAACGTTTTATTGTCGAATGATGACGAGTTAAAGCAACAAATTGGTGGAATGTATCTGTACGTCCACATACATCACAGTATATTAGACATGTGTTCAATGCCGAGCATGCAATTTCATGTAGTGAGCGAGTGGCCTTTACACATCATAATAATAAGATGAGTGTGAGGAGGCACAATAATACGAACAGGTTTTTTTTTTTTTTTTTTTTTTTTATAATTCAATTCCAGTTTGCTTCCTAAATTGAATTGGAATCTCATATTCATTGAACACAGCACAGACACGAGTCACATAGTTTAATTTTAAATTTTGTTGGATGGTTGAAAATATATAAAAAGTTCTTCAAGTACTCCATCCAACTGCTCCAGTCGAGGAACCGACAACAATAGGAGGAGGACTCCGACTCACCACCCCCCGGGCACCAGATAAATTAATATCAGAGCTGCAGGCGGCATGAGCATGGCGGGCGTCGTCGGTGCCCTGACTTTTTAGTCCTCTTGCAGCCGGCATATTTCGTTAATAATAATAATAATAATTACAACTAAAATCTCTTAATCTGAGAGGGCCGACGAGGGGTTAGAAGCTAGAACCGGACATTTTGTTCAATTCTTAGCAGCAGGCCTATTAGATGTACTAATCCATTGTTTGTTTCTTTTTATCTGTCATTTTATGATATCAAGAAAGCATTTATGAACTTTTTTTCAAATTTACCCTTGCTTACCCTTTCAACTTTCTTGAACTGGAACTCTAAATAATTAAATGCAGTATTTGTAGCATTAACAATAGAAGTAGTTGAAGAGACGAAGAATTAAATTGAAATGTGTCTATAAATTGGGATTGACCAACTCCGTTACATAGTCATCTAAAGAAAATGGAGATTGATCAAGATATCAATGTTTCAAGCTCTATAAAATTGTCCAACTCAAGTGTAAAAGAAAGTTACTTTAAATTTTGACTTGAATGTACCTGTAGATCGTGGGTTCGACTTGAACAAATTTCCAAACGAAGGAGATGAAGCTTTTGCATAAGAAGAATTTCAGCAAGTGGTTAGGATCATGTTAAAAGTTTATCTTCCCAAATTCTATTAACTCAAGGCCAATAAGACATGTCTCCTTCAAAGTCCTTTCGTGTTCGGCTTTATTTTGCTTCATATGATGGCCCTACTATTATTTTACTTGATGTCATGCCTGCTTACACCATATAATAGGTAAAACTAAAATGGACGAGGGAAAAAAAAAAAAAAAAGTAATGGCTTTTACTTGATGTCATGGCTGCTTATCACATGAATTGCAATTCCCACGAAAAAAATACCAAAAACAAATCATATAGACACCGGAGAAGCCCAGAAAAAACAAAGCAACGTATTTAGTCATTAATCATTACAAAATTAACTTGGCTATCAAAAACTTAAATAATCAAGAACTTCTTGCACTAATGTGGGATTACATTTCATCCGAATAGGGAGTCGGCCACATCTTTCTAGCACTGCTTTCTTACTATGTGGGATCTTATATTTGTTGGAACCTTTTGCCTTCATGATTTCTATCATGCATATCTGAAGTGTTAAGAATATTTTGTCAGATATCACAGTGGAGAAAGCTTCAAATGATTTCACAACAGCATTAACAAGCTCATCAACTGTTGTAGGTGCTTCCTTGTGTTGTAATGACTGAATTGCATGAAAGAACCCAAAATCTAAGACATTTAAATCTGGAGAATTTGCTAGTTGATACATCAAACGAATATCAAACCCATCTTCTGTAGCTGCTCGACAAAAATCAGCATCATCAATGTCAATGTGAGTTCTTGCATTATCTTGTTGAATAAATATTGGCTGCCTTGGATCATCTCTTGGCCACTTTGCTTTGATGGCAGGTAACACATTTTCAATTAGAAACGAATTTATAGCTTCTTTATTTATCGAAGTTATTGGTTTTGTTTCTAATGTACCTGCAGATCTATTAACACTAGTTCTTTTGGCTGGCTCTTGAGTGACGAACGGGAAGATACCAATTTTTCCAGAGAAGATTTCAGTCATTTGTGTATCAAATCTTGGACGACTTATAGCAGCTAAGAACATGACTTGTGGAATGAAATTTTTACTTTGACAAGTGCGTAATGGCTCTTCCCCATCTGGTAGCAAGTAATAGTTTTCAGACTTCTTTGACATGCAGAACCATTTTTCATCGATATGAATAATGTTATGCATACCTATGAAAGTTGGATCATGTGGTATGCTGCAACTTTCCAGCATGGACAAACAAAATTGCAGTCGGCATCTTTTGTTTTCTTCCTTCAAATATGATTTTATGCCATTTGAGTGACGCCGTATTATAACTCCAATCTTTAGAAGTCTAAATAATGAGGTCTGATTTGTGTCTAAAGCGGAAGCTAAAGATCGAATAGATGTCCTCTTAATTTGATAAGGGGGTTTCACGAAATCGAACCATGTCAATCTGAACTCTTTTTCGTCCACAATTTTTTGTCTTCCTATGACACATATCACCACTGTCCTTTGCTCATTTCCAAATACGTTGAATAGTTCTCAGTGAAACTGAATAAGATGATGCCAATGTTAAGAGAGTACCTTTTTTCACTTTTCCAGCAACACTTTGTTTCAACAAAGCACAATGTATTCTTTTACGTTCTTCATTGGTCAAAGTTTTAAGTTTCCTTGTGCGACCACCACTTTGTGCTTCTACCACTTCTAAATTTGGATTGTCATCATTGACGTTGTTATCTAGTTAAGAATAAAATAAAAATAAGAAGTTACTGGTACATAGAGGTAAATAAGAGTCAATAATATGGAAAGAAATTGTAATACCAGCATTCAAATTTGGTTCCCCCAATTCTATTACTTCGAGATTTGCTTCTGTTTCATCTTCTGCACATGGCTCTTTGTTCAAGTCAAAAGGAAATTGACTTGAGGATATCTCAGTTGTTGGAGGACTTTGTTTAAGGTTGAAGTCAAGAACAAAACCTTCTTCAATAATGCAATCAAGATCTGGCAATTGATATTGCAATTCCTCTGTAGCGGCTTCTTGAGCCTCTTCACTATGAATGTTAGAATCTGCCCATGAATTATTTAAATCGATTACAAGTATAGGCATCTGATATCTTTGCCTTGAACCCATGGATAAAGTAAGTTGTTTTGAATAGATTTAACGTCCAGCATACTTATAATGTCAAAGTCTTTTGTTTTTTGCAGAAAGTTTTTGGTGGGAATTAATATTCAAGTTTTGAGATCTATGAAAACAAATTTGGTGGGAACTATTCCGATTTTCAGATTTAATCTATTGATTGAGAAATGTGTGAGAGAGAGTAAATGACAGGTAATATTAATTAGGTATAATTGAAGAGAGATAAAGGATAATTTTGAGAAGTAAAGTAAAATTTTTGTTAATTTTTAGAAAATAATCAACTTTCCTAATTTAAGAGAATTAGTTATTCAGACCATCCAATAAGGAACGGAGGAGGAGGAGGAGGTATAAATATACATATCATCATTTGGGGTTAAAGCAAGTCACGATGCCCATCAGAGGAAGAAGAATACGCATTCATCTCCTGTCCTCGAAATAAAACAAAAATGATTAGAGACTTAGTATTATTAATTATTATTGTTATTAGTGAAAGCAGCTCTATTAAGAAGAAGCCAATCCCCTCAAACTTGCCATAGAAGCCTCCTCCTCCTCCTCCTCCTCCTCTGTCCTTATGGCCGCCGCCGCCGCCTCCTCCTCCTCTTCTTCCTGCTTCACTTGTTGTTTCCGATTCATCAAACTCAGGTGCAAACGCTGCTTAGAAAGAGTAGCTGATGTCACCAGTACTAGTGCTGCTGGCATTACTGCTTCCCGTTCCGAAGGAGAAGAGGCACAACGAAAGCAAGGTCTGCATCAGAATCATCCTCGTAAATTCAGTTGGGATGAATTGGAAAGGTTCAGCTCCAATTTCTCGCGGGTGGTTGGATCCGGAGGGTTCAGCACTGTTTATCTCTCCCAATTCCCGGATTCAAGCCTTGGGGCAATTAAGATGATCCACGGCGCCAGCAGCAGCCAGCGGCTTCATCGGGTTTTTAAGCAGGAGCTGGACATTCTCCTCCGCCTCCGACACGATCACATCGTCAAGCTTCTTGGCTACTCTGATGATCCAGGTACGTCGTAAGCCTCCCCCTCTCCTCCAGATACTAATGCTGATAGTAGCGTCATTGTAGAAAAGAATATGTTTCGACGGACTTACCATTAATTATTACTTGTGCACAAGTGTTAAGACTTTCTTTTTTCTTTTTCCGCGCAGAAGAAAGCATTTTGGTGTTTGAGTATGTTCCCAACGGGAATTTGCAAGACAAACTCCATACACCTAAAGCAAGAAGAGGAGGAAAAACAGGAGCAGGAGCAGATGGAGAGGAGGAGGAGGAGGGCGTGCTTTCGTGGAACAGCCGCATCAAAATAGCATTTCAACTTGCCCAGGCCTTGGAATATCTCCACCACAAGTGTCCCTTACAGATAGTTCATGGGGACATCAAAGCTTCCAACATTCTCTTAGACAGCCACCTCAACTGTAAACTCTGCGATTTTGGATCCGCCAAGATGGGATTCGCTTCCTCGGTGCTCCCGCCCTTTTCTTCATCTTCTTCTTCTGCAACGAGCAGCAGCAGAATGATGCTTGGGTCTCCCGGTTACGCCGATCCTCACTACCTCAGGACAGGGATCGCCTCCAAAAAGAACGACGTGTATAGCTTCGGAGTTATCCTTCTGGAACTCATAACGGGGAGGGAGGCCCTCTGCTCCCGCACCGGCCACAAGTTGACTTCCATCGCTGCACCCGCGCTGAGGGATCCATCGAAGCTGCCCCAGTTGCTGGATCCACGTCTTCTCCGAGGCGACGATCCTGAATTGTTGGAACAAGTCAAGGTCATGGCTTCCATTTCAGCAACGTGCCTTTGCGATTCTCCCGCCCTTAGGCCTTCAGCTTCCGATATCCTCAATGCCATCATTCGCCACCAATATTCCCTCCTTCCCATTTCCTAGTTCCTATTACTCCTCCTCCTAGTGATGCAACGCCTAACAAGTTTTGATACACCTCCTACATGACACTTACAAGTCCCATACCATACTAGGATTTCATTTCTTCTGTCTTACCCCAACAATTTTGCCTCTTTCTTTTTGTTTTTTTTTTTGGGGGGCCGGGATGGGGTTGGGGAAGAGCAAAACCACACAGCTGGCGCGCCACTACTACTTTAGATTGCACATTAAGCACTCTGGTTAGGAAAATAAGCATTAGGCTCAATGGTATGTACAGTATATTGCTCAAGCGTTTTTACCGCAACAGGGACTGGGTTGTTTTCGGAGCATCAATCACTTGATGTACTGCACCCGACGCTTCTATTTTTGACAAACGCTTTTTCGCTTCTCCCCTTTTCTGGGTTGTGGACCGCGTGAAATTCCAATATCTCAGGCTTGCTTTTATACGGTTTGAAGACATGCCACCACCGATCTCCATACCTTAGCAGTATGGAGGAAAGGTTGCATGGATTCAAAAATTCAGAGTGGAGTGATCTTAGGATTGGGACAATGTAATGTAATTACCACATCAAGCCAATAATTGATAGTACATCCATTTTTTTTGGGTCGGTAAAAATAATAATTTCAATATCTTACGCGTAACATGTAATACATCCAAGTATCTAGCTCAACTCTCATTCATTCAAATACACCCAAACATAGCATAGCAGCTTATCTGAATCCTACTTCTACTGAGAGTTAAAGATATATATATATATATATATATATATATATATACACGTCACGACCACGCGTGTACACAGATACAGACACACGCACGAAGCTATTATATTATATTATGTATCACATCACTGCTTTGTCAAGCAACCGAGCCTCAGGTTAGGCTGCAGAATGAATCCCTCCTATAAGAGTTTGGCCTCAATTTCCTCCAGAGTGAGTCCTTTTGTCTCCGGTACCACAAAGAAGATGAATATGACCGACAAAACAGCAATGCCTCCAAATATGAAAAACACAACGCCAGCTCCTACCAAATCCTGCAATGGCATTACACATTAAGATGAAAATGTCATTGCAAACTCTCCTTCCCATATAAAGGCTGTCTACGCAACTTCTTGCTGAAGAATACAAGCTTCAAGGAGAAATAGCCTTAGCAGAGATTGAAACACAAATTCCATCTCAAGCTCCTCGTTTTCGTTTCACGATTAAAGTTTCTTTAGTTCCACATTTCTATAGTTTTCACTAGCTAGATTCACAAGAATTTTAGTAAATTAATCCTCAAGATAATAGCAATTTTGAGAATTCACCAGTCATTTCCCCAGCAACAAAGCAGGAAAAAAAAATTTTTTTTCTGGAAGCATCTAGCCAACGACTAGTACATGCAACACTGCACACGTATATGGTCCAAATTTCATGATATTATGTATCAAAAGGCAAAAAGGTAGGGTAATATCTGTAACACTACCATCTTGTCTTGATCTTCTACATGGATAGGTTCACTACAAAATTAGGCAATAGAATGAACAATTTGCAAACCTTACCTGGAAAGTTTAATCTGTTAAAGCTATTGACCCCCTCCCGCACACACAAGCACCCCACCCCACCACCAAAAAAAAAAGTGCTGCGCAAACATTGACATGCATTTTTTGTGGAAAAACGTAAGAACAAACATATACGAATTTGTATTAGAAGCGAACTCTGCAGAAAAATGGTTTGTTTTGAGAACTTTTCAGTTTCACCCAGCATCAGCAGCATCCGAAAGGAACTTATGAACACCATATTGCAGGTTCATGACATGTATCAAAACAATCCGTAATGACATGATCATAAGAGAAGCCAGAAACAAAAGCTAGTAATTTTCAATATCTACAGTCCAACACAAGGTAAAACGTTTTGCACCTCGAGAGGAGAAAATGCAAATGTCACCAGTGCATTTGCGCCGAAATTCACCAGAACTGCTATACTCAATCCTCGCCCTCTTGAGCGTAAAGGGAAAATCTCTGAAATCATTAACCAACCTATTGGACCAAATGATAACTGCAAAATGAGGATATAAATCAATACACATTTGCCAAGCAGAGACTACATGGTAGAACTACAATAAACATTGTGGTCACCACTGATACAATAAAGGTTAAAGCCATTAAAGGAAAAATGTGACACCCATTGATATTGACTACATGTAAGAAAGTAACAAAATTATTCCATGAAGTAAGTGATGCTAAAACTAAATCAAATAGCTGCACCAACTTTTCACATCTAAATTCACAATTCTCCGTTTATCTGGACCGAAAGAGAAGCGGGGTGCAAGCTCATCCTATAATGTTCATTCGATTTGCAGTGAAATTATAGGGAATTCCAAATTGAGCCTCAAGGCTTAGCTCAGCCCACATCCTCAGAAGAAATAAATTTTCAAAATGTTAATGACAATCTGAATACCAATGATTTGCCAGTCAACAGCTTTTTTATATACCTGATAGCATCCGACATACAGCAGCAGCCCAACAACAGCCACGGCAGGTACATCATCCAAGAATGTGTAATATGATCCCAAAAGAAAGAGGGATATTACCTATCATACAGTATGGATCATAAATATTTTTTTGGAGCTTCAAGGAATGTAAATGGTGATAGGAAGTACATGTTATAAAACCAACAGAAAACTGCATTAACAGTTATATCAAACAAGCAACCATGCTCAGAACCGAGAGATCATATGAAAGACACCTCAAGTAGAAAAGACTGTTACCATTCCAGAGACACCACCAAGTAGCAGAGGTCTTCTACCAACTCTATCAATCACCAGTACAGCTACTGCAGTCATAATTAGCTGCAGATAGTATGAGCACATTAGTTTGACCCAGAAAGAGACAAAACTGACACCAGGTTCTCATTGAATGACAAGCTTAATGTGAAAACCTTGACTCTTGCACTCAACATTGAAAAACTAAAGCAGCTTGTTTTCAACAAGGCGGCATCTGGTTGTAAATGTGGAAAATGAAATCACAATGGAAGTTGCTCAGTTTAAAAGGAAATTTAACAATAGGACAGATGCAAACATTAAAAACAAGTATACAACCATTGAAAGGAGGGAACACGTGGCAATCATGCATAAATCATAAAGGGGAAGGAACATGCATGCCAAGAGAGTCCACCTTCAACAATGCCAGAAATATTGAGGCTGTCGTAGCATCAGATGCAGCAGAAAACCCTGCAGTCTTTCAAACCATACCAGGTAAGCACAGTGGGGAAGAAGCAAATTGACATTAGAAACAAATTCATAAATAAATAAATAAATATGTGCGCGCGCGCGTGTGTGTGTGTGTGCACATATACATGAAATTAAGCATTAATATCATGTCAAAGAGCACAGGCACATATTATGTGCTAGTCTTATTGAATTCAATCGTTGTACCTCAAAAATAGTGGCAGCATAGTACAGAACGCTAGGTTGTCCCGTAATCTGCCATTAAAAGAGTTAAGATATTAGGAATAATTCCAGAATAAAAGCTCCGGTAAAGTAAGAGAGGACCATTACTAAGAAGAATACCTGTTGGAACAAGACTAATCCAGCACCGATTGAAAGAGCTTTCAAGCATTTCCCCTGGAACATCTCCGCTATTGTAGCTTCTTTCTCCTCACTAAGTTGAGAAAGCTCAGACAGAATTTCATCCACTTGCTGAGAAGCCGAATCCCCAATAGCCCTTCCTCTAAGCCGGCACAAGCTACTTATAGCAATTTCTCTTAAATCATGCAATTTCCCCTTGCCCTGTATGGCTCTTAGCAGAATCCATCTTGGTGATGCAGGCAACCACCACATTCCAATAGCCATTATAACAGCCAAAGGGGTACTAACCCCATACATGTAACGCCATCCAGAAATTGTTTCAACCAAGAGGCTACCAACAACATAACCAAACTGAAACATATTGCATCAATCAGCATTAGAAATCCCAAAGCATCATGGAATGTACCACTGATATGAGAAAGAATATAACTACACCTTCTATTACATCACAAGCACATGGAGCATAACCTATAGCTTCTAATAAGCCTTGCTCAGCGATGTTCAATACTTACCAGCATTCCCATGACTATGAAGAACTCTTTCAGAGAAATGAGTCGTCCCCGTATCTGGCTTGGAGCTGTTTCAGCAATGTACATTGGGGCAGCATGCATGGCCTACCAAAAGATAGGGAAGGAAACAAGAATCCAAAAGTGAGCTGAATTTTGAAGATTGTTTGTCATCCAGTAGACCAATAACAAAAATTCTGCGGATTGCAGGAAATGCTCTGAATGACATATACAACAACATAAAAATTAACTACCCTGACTCCCTGAGAATTTACTGTAGACGACATGTCTGGTGTTGTTTGCTCGTAAGTAATGCTTTCTTACTACAAGTACAATGTAGGGATATCCAATTGCAATATCAATGAAACTACAACTGGGAAGCAACTCTTATGAATGAGGAAAGGACGCATCTTACCAAACCGATTCCAATGCCATACACGAGCCTTCCAATGACCAAGACAACAAAGTTGGGTGCCAATGCTGTGACTAAAGCTCCCAAAAGATACAATAATGAAGAAAATATCAACTCCCTTCTTCTTCCTAAGATGGAAAAATGACTAGTGAGTTAATAAAGAGAGAAGTTGGATGAGCAAATAAACATTTCATCCTACACACGGACAGAGAGAACTAACCGAGGAAGTCAGCAACATTAAAAGCCAAAACAGAGCCAGCCAATGCACCATACAGGGAGCCACTAGTCTAAAACAGACAGCAGGCAGCTCAGAGCATTAAATGATAAGATGTCATGTCTTCATAGGCAGAAAATCCTGAGGAAATTAGCTATAAAGCACAAAAGACACGATGGTGACAAGAAGAGAAGTGAGCTTACTATGAGGCCAACTTCCACAGAAGACAAATCATACCATGAAATTCCGCTAAAAGAGGGCGACTGCACAAGAGGAAGGAATTGGCCGATTAAAAGTTCAGCTAGATTTGTTGGAGCAAGATAAAATCATTTGGAAACTCAGTCCAGCTTTCAGTATCAGAAGCGATGTGGGAGCCATAAAACAAGGAACATCTCAATCTCATAAAAGAAGAAGCACTAGTGGATAATGCAACAGGGCAACAGCACACCCCCACCCCCCAAAAAAAACAAAAAAAAAAAGGAATCGTGACATGGGCACATTGAAATCCATTGTAATCTGGAGCATGGTGTATCTGAGAAAGAGAAGGAAAAGGAAGAATAACCTGTATAGATATTGTAGCAGATGATGTGGCACCAATATCATAGCCATATAGCAATCCTCCAAGAGCTGGGAACAGAAACCTGAAATGATGAGGTGTGTTTGAGCATGAGTTGTAAAGGAAAAAGAACAA